GGAGAAAGTCATTTCATTTGACTTGAGCTTTGTGAGTAACTGGCCTTTTGCAAATGATATGCCTTTCTCTTTCTTTGTTTGCACACGTGCTCTTAGAGAACTGTTTTATTTAGCTGCCCGGCTAATTATAAAAGTATTCCTTATAGACATATTGTCCATATGCCTGTAATTTTGTAACTTATAACAAACTTCATTTTGAAGTGCATCTAGTTTCATGGGATATCCATGTTTGCTTGACTCATTGTGTACTGTACCAGTCAGTATGGTATTTTGTAGTCTTTTTAAAGAATTTTGTACACTGTAATTATCAAAGATAATGAATGCTTTTTAAAGTATTATACACTTATGGTGATAACACAATTGTAGTCTCAATTTTTTACTTTGACCTTTTTCTTTGAGTTATATAAAACAGTGTTGTGTTTTACTGGATTTCTATTGGGACATCTTGTAATACAGTATATTGCTTTCTTTTACTAAACTGACAAAGGAACACAGCTTAATGGGATCACTTGAGTTCATAATAAATAATCTTTATCACACAAGGTTCTTGTTTTTCTTTCAGACATTTATTTTGCTTTAACTCCGGTTAAATTTGTAATGTTAACAATAGTACATCTACAAATGTACTAAAAAAGTCTATGTACGTGGAGGCTGCCTGCAGTGACTTGACACAGGGTTTCCCGAACTCTGTTCTGGGTTGGGTGCTGATGTTTCTGTGGCTTCTGCTTCTTGATATATCTTAACTGAACAGAATTCTTTTCACAGACAGATTATTTTAAAAATCTTTTTTTTTTCTCAAGAACTTTTATACAAGAGTTTAAAAAATGTCTGTCATATTCTTTTAGTTTAATAATGAATTCAAATTATATATTCTATCATACAAATACAATGATTAAAATAAATTAGTAAGTTGAACATACTATTAAATTAAAGAAAATGATTATACGTGTGAAGCTTTCAGGTTTTATCCAAGTTAGTTTTGACGTTCAAATGGCAATTGACTGGCCTGCATCATTAACCATTGTACTTCCTAATGATTACCATTTAACTATAACGAACAGCATAAGAACAAATACAAAAAAAACAACTAAACGGTAATTTGCACAAAAAGGAAAATGTTGCTCTTACAATGTGCTCATTTTTACACTTTAACAATCGTTCATCGAACAAAAAGGAAATGGCTTTATTCCCCTAGAATGTCACTGGCAATTGTGCAGTAAAATGTAAAAGCACGAGGAAACAGAAATGTTACCGAAGTGTGATCGTCTAGCTTACAGATTTTGTGAATCGTCATATTCTTCTGTTTAGTGGAAACATTAGTCAGCAAGTGCAGTACTGATCCTTTCGATGAGCTGGTCCGGTCTAGGTGAACTTCTTCATAAAGCGCAGTTTTAGATAAGCTATACTGAGGAAGATGAGGGTCATCACCCCCAGAGCCACGTGATTCTGCCACAGACCCCAGGTGCTGTAGTCTATGCCTTGTTTTTCCAGGAATTCTTCTCCTGTACACCTGATATTGAAACGCAGGTGTTACATTTGTTTTTTTATTATTTTTACCTGTTATATGTATGATTAAAAGAACAATATCCTCATTTCAAGTGGAATTACTTACTGAAAGCCTGGGAAACGGTAGCTACAGTTGATATCAATTCTGGAAGGATTGGTAGGTACAACAAGAGTGTCGTTGCAGAAATTTAGACCAACAAATTCGTTCACTTGCAGAGCCTGTATAACGAAAGAAAAGAAAGATCACGGTAGGAAGAGTTGATCATTGTGAGCAATCATTTACTGTAGCAGGTTTTTAAATTGCCTCTTTTGGGCAGACAGAATTGTAATCGCACATTTTGTATGTTCCTTCAATAAAGAAGTTGTAAAACGAACCTTTCTACAAAAATACAAACTACAGCACATCATGTAAGTACCAGACTGAATCTGCTGCAACAGGAAAATAATTTAAAATAACTTCCAAAATCTTAAAACTGAAATTCATTAAACATTTAATGAATTAGGGATATGTACAGTATAACTAGCCTTTGATAAGAAATTAATGGAATTTACCAATTACGATTAAAAAAAAATCAATATTCTGCAAGCAATACAGTACATATACTTGAAAACACACTTACACCTTGTAAATATACTTATAATTTGTAATAAGTCTATACTTACTGCCATTCCATAGCGAGGAATGCTCAGGTATTTAAACCAAGCTAGCCAGTCCATAATGCTGGGCAGGTTCACAAGAAGACCAGAGAAGATCTAATCCAAGGAGAAGCGCAAGAGACAGGATTCCATCACCTTTTGGCACCTTTTCAAAACCCACCTTCTTGAATTACACCAGTGATTCCACACGCTGTCTGCCCTGACAGCTATAATCCTTCATCAGGACTGCACTGATTGACATCCACATCTCCGTTTTCACTGTAAATTTCTTTCTCTTAATTATATTGCTATTCCTCTGTACCCATATGTACCCAAATGTACCGCAAAGTACCTTGATTAAGATAAAATAATAATAATAAAAGTGAATTTAAAAACAGTGAATATAAAAATCTACAACAGAATTTCCTTATTATGGCTGGTTATAAAGAACGGATCCGAACGGGACTGAATGTGTCTGAATGTGGGTTGTTTTTTTTTTTGCATGTATGAAAAAACTATGAAACCCGTTTTTTTTCCTCACCATCATGAAAACAAAGCTGATGGTCATGAAGATGTTGGCCACGGCGACCACACTCTGCCCAGCAGACATAGCCAGGGTCATGGCTGTGGCCGTGTAGGCCACCAGCGTCACGGTCAGCATGAAGATGAAAAAGGCCGCCACTGTTTGCTTCAAGCCTGAGTGGAGAAAAACAAGCATCACACAGCAACTGGTAAGACGTCTGCTATGTACCTGCAAGAAGGTGATGTTCAGTTCCAGGTCCCATTTAAAATGATTCTTCACACTTTGTGCACCATGTTCAGATGGAGAAATTTCAACATTTCAATGAGAAACAGCTTGAGATGGATGCACAAATCGAAACACAGTACCACACTGCATAACTGCATTGATCAAAACAGACTACTTTGTAGTTACGGAAACACACGGCTGAGTAGGTTATTTACAAGAAGGCCTATTCATTAATGCAGGCCTTTACTGAAAATATAGCACTGAAAATATAGTGTTCAGTAGACTACATTGTATTCAAATATTTTTTATAAACAATTGAAAATAGACTGTATCCAATGCAGTCCTCTACTATGGCACTGAATAAGCTGATGACATATAGCACAATCCAAAGAAGACTCCTTCCTTAATAATCTCTTAATAATCTTAATAATGTTGGAAGCATCTCAAACAAAATGATTTTAAGATCACAAATCATGAAGAACCCAGTTTGTACTCCTTTTGCTGCTTGTTACTAAACACTGTTTTATATTTTATTTTTTATAATAACGGAAACACGTGTTTTCTATTTCCCTTCTTGCATTCTGTGGTGTAAACTATTCTTTTTTTCCTGTATATTTAAAAATATACAGCAGCTTAAATGATAAAATCGTGTGCTCTAACCAATAAACAAAAACCCCTAAGTTGTGTGCTTTTGCCTGGACAAGTGGTTAATGAGAACATTGTGTCCACTGTAATTCCAAAAAGATCTACACCCGGTCAACAAACACGCAAGTTATCTTGGTATTGTAATGAACCAGAAACGACGAGAAGCGTTTTACAGTATTGAGCACTTAAAGCACCGCAGAGGAACATGACAACCACTTGCAGTAACACGGTGAACAAGACTGCTTACCTAGCATGAAGTAGGCGATACAAGTGAAGACCATGGCTGGAACTGTGCGGAGGGTGAAGATGTCAGACATTATCTTCGACAGGAAGTACACAGAAATCCTGTAATACCCACTGATGTATTCATGCCTGCGAGAAAAAAAGAGCCGTGTTCCTGATCCAGCCATATCAGGGCTGGTATTGTAGCGGATTGCCCCATGGGACTCCGGTGAGGAACGCAGGTGAGAAAGGGGCTACCAGAGACTCGCATGAAGAGTCCGAACATGATGTAAACGTCTCATTTACAGACAGCTTTTATAAGGGAGCCGTTGTATTTCGGATTTGAGCATGGGGTGAGCTGTAACTCTAGGAATGAGTTGGTGGGGGTTTGTCTCATTTTGAGCTGGCATGGTTTGGTCACAGAGTAGTTAAAGCAGAACAGCAAAGCGCACTGATAGCCTCTGAACCTTGTTTGTGTAGTCAGTGCAAGGCTATGAACAGAGAAGCCTTTTGCTTGTTTTGTCTATACTTTCAACACAGCCAGAACTCACCCAGGATCTTTTGTTTGAACGTCAACTTGTTGACTATTGCATGTGTGAAGATCTCTGAACAGCAATCCTACATACAGTAGGGCATCTCCCACAGGAACACAATAACACTGGCCCTTGTAAGAGTATCACCAAAGCAGCCCCATGTCCTCTTTTCATTCAGCAGGCACATCTGTGCTACTCACACAAAAAGCTTCTTCTCTGTAATGAAGAGCTCGGCTGCAGACAGAGTGCTGAAACACTGGTTTGTAACGATGAAGAACAGCGCTCCAGTTCTGAGAAAGGAAAAAACAAATCTTGAATAATAACATTGAAAAAATTTGTTTGAGCAGACTAGAGAATTTTAAAATTGTCTATTGTCTCAGATTTTATACCTATTTAACTACATTATGTATGTTATATCTTCTAAGTACAACTGTATACTGTATCTACTTACACTAGCTGACTAGGTTGTCAATAACAACCTACTGCAAGACCACACAGACTTTTCAAGCATACGAGAAGTCGCAAATTCACATTTGTATGAGATACAAAAAAACACAAAATACAAGTCAAGAACTGTACATTTTTACATGGCACTTGGAAACCTGGGACCTTGGAAACCTGGAAACAGCAGGACTAATCCTTCTTTTGGGTAATGAATGGTGTTGATCTAATAAAGACAATAAGATACCAGTGTATTTCTAGTAATTCTCCAACAGTTAAACCCTTAAACTGAATTAGGCAGTTCGATGATGAAATACTGGTTTTAATTTCCTTTAGAGCGGCTAAAACAAATTTAACAATATGTCATTTCATACAGTGAAAATTCAATGAAGAGGCATATAATCCATAATTGTCCATCCTATAAACTGCCATCAAACTTCAATCATATATGAGCACAAGACAAAATTCTTTGCAATTTCATACACTTTGTAACGATATTTAATGCCACTTAGATATGCTTTAGTGTTCCACAACACTCTGTAGAAAATTGTAGCCTGTGTGTTCTTATGTAAAAATAGCTCTGATGTAGCTTTATTGTGAAAAACTGTAGTTCTTAAACCATCTACCTTTTGTGCTAAATAAAGAATGTATACCATACCTGTTCTGGATCCCACTTTGATCGTCTTTGATTCCGAAGAATATAGCGCCCACTATTAGAGCCAGGAAAATCGTGACACCAATCTAAAACACAAAGGAAGAGGACGGGGCCTACAATCAAACACAGCTGTCAAAGCAACAATCAATACAAGGCCAGAAATGCATCATTACAGCATCATGCAATTATGGAACTTGGATTGGGTTATACAGAACTATGTAATCGCATAATAATCGATTCCGTATGTGATGACGGAACTATGGCTTATTGTCTCTTTAATATTAAACAAATTCAAGCACTTTTAGAAAAAAAGGTCTGTAAGCACATGCCAGTATTAAAAGTGCTTTTGAGGATATGAGAGCAGCAATAAACGGAGACCAGCGTTTAGTTGTCTGGGCTCTTTCAATAAATGTCTGGTAAGTAAATGACTAGGAACTACACCAGTAAGCCAAGTGTCCTCCTCTTATAACAAATGACATCTGTACATTTTTTTGTAATGAAAAAAACACATAACTCACTAATAAACTTGTGGTTCTGAACAATACTCAGAGGTTGAAAAATTCACTATAATGCACGTGTTTGAATTTTTTCTGATTTTTTTCTTTCTAATTGAAAACACCACTACTCTATTTAAAAAGCGAAAACAATCCAGTATGAGGCAAATTTACAGTGCCGCCTGAAGTGGAAAAATACCAGCCAGTTCCCAGAGTGGAAAGGCTAAGCTTATAAGGTCAACCGGTTCCTATGTAAAAGGCTGTATTTCCTCATGTGGCTCCCCAGCGAGGTCTGGGGGTCTTAATGGAGCCATGTGATATGACCTTGGCCTTCAAAAGCACTAAGGGCTTTAATGGTATAAGCTGTGATATGATATCATTTAAAATCCTGTTGAAAAAGGCAATACCAAGGTCACAATAGTCACACAAGCTGCTCAAGTAAGATTATGAAGGCTTATTTGGACCAATTAGCAGTTAATAATTCTTGAACTGAGTACCACTGATGGCATTTTATGGCAAGAGGTCATTAATGAGGCTCTAAAGCTCTCCCAGTACAAAGTGGGTTCATGAAATGAAAGAACACACAGCAATTAAACTCAAGATTTCTGTTCATCACTTCCGTGCTAATTCCTGTCATAAGGTCATTAGTGATGGAGTCGAAAATAGATTGGCTTTTATTCACCAACCCTTTGAAGGGTCTTTGTTAAATTACTGTGACAGACGACTAAACATATTTTAAGCATTCAGTGCTAAACAGCAATCCGCTCCACAATGCTGGGAGTTTAAGGTCATTCCCGTTTTAATTAGCACTCAAACTTTCTGAGAATTGCGGCAATCAAATAATATCTCTCTAGCAAAAGCCATGCCCCAGTTGCTGTAGATATGTTTAGATAAGTTAAGCCATTTTATTTTTTACAGATATGTGTCTTACCTCAAACTGCCCCCAAGAGCACTTACAAACACGTCTGTACCTGCTTTATTAAAGAAAGATTCTTGTTTGCATGGAACTACCATATTTACTTTAAACTGACTGTGTGGTACCATTAATGGACAATTTAACTTGAGTTGACTGAAATGAATCATTGTAATATTCATATAAACAACTATGACAATTGCAGTACATCACACTTAAACCTTAGTCCTTGATGCCTCTGTGTATTAAAAAAGAGGCACTGTTGCTGGCCCACTGCAGTACAAAATTTACAATATTACCTGAGCCACAGAGGTCTGCGGATTCAACATCAGGTTCTTGAATGTTCTTTTCAACACCCATTTCAGCTGGTGAAAGAACGATGTGGCATAGGTTATCTTTCGGGACGTTGGCCGCAAGATGTGCTGCTTCCCTTGAAGGATCTTTTCCAGGTCGACTTTGGTGTTTTTGTAGTAAGCAGAACTCTGGTACTCCTCCACCAAGCGGTCTTCGATACCCTGCCTGGTAGTGGTTTGATCCTCAATCTCATAGTCTAGGAAATAAAAAAACGGTCAAAGGCAGAGAACAGATAGGTATTTTCATCATGAGACCCAATCTGTCTTGTTTTAATTGTTCCATTCTTAGATAACATGTTTTGACCTGGTTTGCATACATCCATAAACCAGATCGAGCTTTATGGCCCTTAATTTTTAAATGCAGTGAACGTTCATCCATTCCATTGAACACACTCAACAGTCTTCAAGAAAAATGCCTACTTTCGCTGTCATTAGCTTTATTAGCTAAACACTCCATCTCACTTGACAGCTACAGAACTCTTCTTTTCTTATCATTATCTTATCAACCTCCTTGCAATTCAGAAAACTGATTTAACAAAAACCACCTGCCTCTAAAAGCATATTTTTCCAGGTCATTTCAATATTGCCCACCCTAATGTGACAAAGTTATAATAGTTCAGGTGGGTAGCTGCGTCAGCATGCGTAGGCTGCAAAGGAACAAGTAATAAAAAAGAAGAAAGAGAACACAACATTTCGTCCATGGAGAACCTGAAGAAGGCTCCACGGCCGAAACGCTGTGTTCTCTTTCTTCTTTTTTTCAGCATGGAATAAACCTATTACTTGTTCCAAAGTTATAATAGGTAATGCTTTCATTGACTTTTTGAGCCAGAGGGTTCATCCCCAGATGTTACTGCTTAAAAGGGGGTGACATTCTGGCTCGAGAAGTCACTGGACAAAGCTGCTGCCACCATTTTTCTCTACACTTTGCATGCGATGCCCTTTTCACACTTAATAAAATACATTATCATTAGGAAAGGAAGAACAAAATGTAAGATTTATTACAGTTATAGAAATGGAGCACTCTCCATGAAACCAGTACCTTCAGAGTTGCGTATCTTGGTCAACGCCGCTGTAATTGAGTTTCCATTGATGACATCCAGGAAAAAGTCTGCGGGGTTGTTGTGTGGCTCGCATGCATACCCTACGTTCGATTGAAAATTCACACAAAGCCGCCATGTTACGACAAGCCTTTGCTCTACAAATATCTGAACATGTAGTCACTATGACTCTACCTGGGATTCTAGCTTGTATACAACGATATGGACGATTAATACATAAAATATGTGATTATTATCCATCGTCAAAAAGCAGCAGTACTTACTGCCTTGTCACCACGCCACATACTTTTATTATTACTGCTGTTATTAGGGTGATGTCAGCTCTCCTCTCCATTGAGCCTTTCAGCCATCCCAACTAAAGCCAGATGGGACCTTTGAAGTGTACATTTCTTCAAGTTACAGAGGTCAATATTAAAAAAAAAACAACAATGATAAACATAGCAATTGCAAATTCAGGCAAAAAAAGCCTTTCAACTGGGTAAAGCATACGAAATAAGGCAAACATAGGGCTGCAACTCAGTAACATTCTTAGAAGCTGCCATTGGTCGGTGGGTTTAAAGTTTAATATAATCCAGGAATAACTCTGGTCTACTCAACGTGTGGTTCGTGTACAGTGGTGAAATGTATTTGAGTAATAAAAGGTCTGGTGTGATTCTAACACCTTTTCTGTAGATGTAGCACCTTTTTCAAGCCCTGCGTTCATCTCAATACAAAGCAGTCTCACCAGCTTTTTCGAAGTAGTCCAGAGTATCCTCCGCTGGCCCGTGGTAAACCAGCTTGCCACTGACCAGCAGGGTCAGGCTGTCGAACAGACGGTAGATGGAGTACCTGGGCTGATGGATGGACAAAATGATTGTTCGCCCATGGCTGGCCATTCTAAGGAAAGAAGCGCAAACAAGTTTCTTTAAACAAAAGATAACGTTTCCTTAATTTGCCAGAAAGCACTGGTATGCCTCAGCACTGTGATTTCTTCAGGGTCTCATAATATGACTCCTACTCCTGTACTACATATTCCATGCATCTGCTCAAATAACTACTGTCACAAATGTCGGGAAGGGCATGCCGTGGAATGGCCAGGAGAGCAATAAAGACCCTATGCGTGGCGGCAAAATGGGGGTTAGCCTGGGCTCAGGAGGTCAGACGATGTCAGGGAGAAACCCATACCATCAGGCCGCAGAGGAGACGAACTGGTGCTAGGCGGGTCTCAAGACATCCAAACCCTCAATGGTGAGTGAGGAGGAAAGGGTGACCCGGAAATATATAGCCCCAGACAGAGACACACCGGAAGGACAAGCAAAGCACAGGGGAACTACAGTAGGAACAGGACAGAGTAGGAGCGCCCTCTAGCTGTAGAGGGCCTGACAGCAGGAATCTTTACCCACAATAACATCCCAACTGATCTACCAGGTGTTATCAGCTCTTGTTATTTCACGTGCGAATATACTCCGATGTGGAACTCAACATTGTATTCTTGACCCTTTTCTACCACACTTCCATCCTGAAGACAAGCATGCCTTCCTGCAACACTTAATATCAGGAAGTGCATAGCAAAGGTGAGGTCCCAAAGGCATTGCGGGCAATTATAGATCCTCATGGCCACTCTTTCCAAGTTTGTCTAATTGTTACAGTTAGTCTAACTGCTACAGAAACACTTTCATATATTTTTTTTTAATGAAATGCTTCCATTTTGCAAAAAAAGCACAGTGGGGATTGAAACATCACGGATTCAAGTTCAAAGCGTACTACAGGATTACAACTGGCATCACTCAGTAAACCTGGTCATTTACTGCACTAGTTTGTGTATGTGAGTTACAAGGTTTAACCTGTTTAACCTGTAACATTTCTACCTATTATTTTTCCAGATTTCGATTTCAGCCATTTCTGTGATCTATAGCACATCGCTGTTAATATGTAATTGTTGCCCTTGTTTCAGCATCTGTTTCCTCATTTTGTAATTATTTACCATACAATGCCAACAGAAACAAAGTGCAATACCTTTTAAGCAGAAGCAGGACAGAATTAGCAGTGCTAGCGTCCAGCCCAGTAGTTGGTTCGTCTAGAAACAGCACAGAGGGGTCAATTATGAGCTCCATTCCAATGTTGGTCCTCTTTCGTTCTCCTCCAGAAATTCCCCGGATCAGCTGGGTTCCAACCTGAATTCAGGAAACAGCGCAGATACTTACACATGTAATTAATACATAACCGTGCCATCTGATTCCTTCGATTAAGGAAACTTATCTTTGAGGGATGATGGATATTCAAATCTGTGTTGCAAATGTTCTCTAAATTGTTTAGTCTTTCACATCACCTGCTTAATGTATCACAAACTGTTCCAAGAAATTGATGATTTAATGGTGACTCAATGTATACTACAGTATACTGCCCACAGGACCGGATCTCTCAGGAATTAAAAGCCCACACTTTCAAATACACCTCAAATAGAAAATGGTTGCTTCCACACAATGTGTAATGGCTTCAACAAAATACAAATTGCATCAAGCGGAGGCGCTGAGTTACATCATTTGTCTCACCTTTGAATCTGCCACTTTGGTGAGGCCCAGCTCTTTGATGACCTGGTCCACCCTGCGCACCTTCTCCGTCTCGCTCACTGATCTCGGCAGGCGCAGAGCTGCGGAGAACTGCAGGTTCTCCCTCACCGTCAGAGTCCCCATGACCACATCGTCCTGGGGAAACGCAGCGGGCAGTTACTGTAGCACAGGCCTACAGGGAGACGGGACAGGCGGGCACCGAGGACGGCTGACCCAATGGGCTCCTTGCTAAGGACTGAGAACCAGGACCAGCGAGGGAAGGCGCTCACTGCTCACAATCTTTTAAAAACAAAGGTTTTTACCAAAAGGATTGAATTAAGATTTGGTGTTGCCATTTGCCTGAACATTGATCTAGTGAAAAAAAAAAAGTAAAGGTTTAATGCCACGATGTATAAAAAGTGCGGACATTAACCTGATCTCTTTGTTATAATCCACGTGTTTTCAAATGGTCTCATGTTAGTAACGTACGAACACACGAGGGGAGGCCATTATGCCCATTTAGCCCATTATAGCTCACTATTCGGAGAATCTCATACAGCTGTTTCCAGAAGTAATCCAGGGTCGTGGCTTCAACGACACAGCAGGGTAGCTTGTTCCAGACTCCCACAACACTGTAGGTAAAGAAGTGCCCCCGCTTCTCAGTTTTAATTGCACTTCTGCACTTTGTGTTGCGTTTATGTTGCGGGGTTCAGCTGAAGAAGACTGCTAGGTGGCAGGCTGGCAGGACATTGAAGACATTTGATGACTTTTATCAGGTCCTCTCATGTCTCCTGTTCTCAGTTAGAAGCATGCTGTGAAAGCAATGCTGAGGGCTACATGTCTCCAAGAGCTGCGTACTAATACAAGCCTACTGGTTTCACTGCTGTGCTTCTGAGGGTTGCTTTATGATATACACACCTGAACGACGTAGCCTGAAATGCATTTGAAGTTGGGAGGCTGGGGGGCTCCATCGATGAGCACCTCCCCAGAGAGTCCCGATGGGTCCTTCCGTGCCGCCAGCACATCCAGAAACCTTAGAGAAGAACAAACACCAGGCTCACACTCGTTCTGCGCACACAGAACTCTTGCAGAAGAGCATCGGCCATACAGCACCGGGATTATGTAGTTAGGCCCTCTGCACATTGTAAGAACACAGTAACGGAGTATTTAGCTGCAGGTTTAACATTTAAAAATATATCATGGGGTCTAACAAACCTGCGTCCTACATGCTGTACAAGATACACAGTTTCAAGGGAGTTCCGCTCACAATGAAGTCCACTGTATCACCAATATGCAGAAATAACCAGACTGTTGCAAGGCTAATACATAAAATCTGGAAATGCACCTTTTTAACAGGGTCTTTAAAAATGCTTAGATTTATAGGGTCTAAGTGAAGTTTTGGCAACTGAAGCCACAATGTGTGCATTCTTCTTCAAAAAACATTTAAATGCCTATTTACAGTATGTATAAATCTAGCTGTATTCATTTCTGCATGTCTGGCCAGCATACTAACTATCTCCCATTTAAAGTACTACTGTTTGGTCTATCTGACAACAGAAAACAGACAGATAAGATCCCATGTCATTTCACAACTGTAAACCACTGGAATCAGCAGCGCAAAATGTTGATTATATGTTGAATCCGCATCAGCAATACTTACGAAGACTTCCCACTGCCAGTAGCTCCAAGAATAGCATTCAGACCCGGCCTCATGATCCCACTGCAATAAAAATGGGAAAAATCTGAATTCTTTTAAGTTAAAAACTAAAATTCTCGGTTTTTCAGAATTCCAGTCAGAGAAAAGTGCTTTTTATGCCCTAGCTTCTAGCTTAACAGCAATGGATTGAAAAAGAATATAATTTTGTTTGAAATGGTCAAAATTTCCATTTCAACCACAAAGTTATCCTCCAAAACCTAACTTCCAAATTTCAGGTGATGCTTAATAATATAAACTTTAACATCTTAAATACAAACATACACTTCAGGAAATTAATACATTTACATTAATTACTGTATATAACACATACAGTAGATAACATGAAAACCACTTATTGCTAACTTAGGGAATTGTAGGAAGCAATCTAAAAATATATAAAAGATTTTAAACTGGTATACAGTAGATAGTGATAAACGGCAACGGAATTTAGAAATCATTTTTAAGCCTTCAGTGCAGGTGACATTCTTTGACAGCCAGAGCATTAAAAACAAAATATTAGCATTACTGGTTTAATTATTTTTAGGAATTCGTTTACAGCTTCTGTTTACAACTGTACTTTTACTAGACAGTACTTCTAATTCTATAAATTCTTCTAATTCTATATATATATAGTTATCATAACACGTCTAGCCTTTTCAAATACATTTTTGAAAAACAATAGCTAAAGGCTCAAACTTATGAATAAAAGCATTAAAGTTCATCACGTGACTGTTTTAATTCTGTTCTCTGGCAGTCTGTGCTACAGTTTTCATCAAAGAGATTATAGCCAAGAAACCATGCTTAATATCATATAATTAACACTATGAAAAGAGGCTGAAAAACCTGTGTGGAATTATTTATTCTTTCCTGGGAAATGTCAAGTACATGTCAAGAAATGTCAAGTACAAGAAAATACTGGGCTAATCAATTGCTTATTGTTAAGAGTGGTCTAGAAGCTTCTTGTTTCTCAGGACCACACAAAACAACAATATTCCAGATAATGTAATCCATTTTTTGTTTCTATCTTGTGCTTTAAAACAACTATTTCTGTAAGAGAATAAGGAACCAGACCAACAGAAAGCAGGAGATAAACACTTAAGTTCAGCTATTTAATATTCTTAATATTTCCATCAGAGGGTGCACGTACAGCATTATTTATGAGGAAGTTACTGTTATTTCTCTCTTAATTAACAGAGTATGGTCATTGCCACTATTTATATGCAAAGTGAATGCAATGATGTCATGTGAGAGAAAGCAAATTGAAGATTAATCTACATCTACATGCTGATACATATTAGACATACTACTGTATGTATTCTGCTTGCATTAACACAAACCACATTCAGTGGGAACAAGTATAGAATCAGCCTGATGCAATATGGTTAAAAACTGTACTTCTGTTACAGGACATTTGAAAAACAGGGACTGCATGATTTTGTAAAGATGAAAATGTCTTTCTTTGGCATGCATGATGTTAACAAATGTGATTAGTAAAGATATTTTATTTTTTTAAATAGGCTGGAATAAATGAGGGCACATGCAATGAAAGCTTTGGGGCTGTAGCAGAATGAAGGCTCATCATGACTCTAGACTGCTGGTGCATTAGTTGCCTGAAACCACAAATGCGACTATGCTTTCCAAATAGAGCTACCTTTGTACTGACTACATAATTCTGGCAATTCAACTTGCGCTCAGACAAAACACGTATCCAGAGCAATGGCATGTGTACAGTGAGACAAGGGATTCTCAGCTGCTTATCTGAACATGAAGATAAGCAGTCCCCCTACATGGCACTGCCTGCATTATTATAAAACACAGGAGTCCAAATGGGATGCGTGTGTGCCTTTAAAATAATGAACATATCATTACATGTAACAATTCACCATGTACAGCCTTTTCATACTTGAAGAGGAAAGCAACTTGCATATTGAATTTTGGGTGTGTTTAATGTTTTGTAACTTCTGTCTTCTGCTAGATAAGCTTTTTCACCATGAACACCACAGCTACAACTTTCTCTTCTTGGTAATATCACGAAGTGTATATCCAAAACCACTTGTTTCCCCTCAGTTTACACCTGCAGCTCCGAGTCATGTTGTTAAAATAGCCTCCTCACAACTCACTGGTTTTTACAAGTCCATATTTAAGAAAAACCTTCAGTACTCATTAAAAGGTCGCATGTTCTGAAAAAGATTAGATTTAATACTGTGATTAAATACTGTGTTGCTGGCTTTTATAATATCTCTACGTAACTCAAGCCAGCAGGGAGTTCTGGTGATACTGAGCTTCCTGGGTAAACTAGAAAGTAAAGCCTTATCTTAACTGTCTTTTGCCAGAGAGTGTACAACCTACAGTTCAGAAGGCAGCCAGTTTTCAAAGCTGATCGTCACACACATGATGCAGGGGTAAAGGAAGAGTGTGAGGATACACTGGAAAATAAAGACCCCAGGTTGTGGTGCAACAGCAGTTTGCTTATATCTTAGTCTATGCTATTTTAAGGTATGACACAGAATAGGTGTCAATGGCCACTACTGCTTCCTGAATAATACTTGAAATAAATTAATTTAGTAACATAAGGCATAATTATGTAATACTCGTGATCCAACATTATTTTTTATATTTTTATAGAAAGTCTTCCTGTATCTTTCTTAGTGTTAATATTTCTGTCAAGCTGCACATTTCATGTGGTTTTCTTAAAATCTCACTGTAGCACGTCAGTCTACCATCACAGTATAAATGAAGAAGTAGAGACGGACTTTACATAGAAATGTAAAAAGTAGCCCTGCGATGGACTGGCGTCCCGTCCAGGCTGTATCTCGCCTTGTGTCCCCATTGCTAGCCTGGTTAGGCTCCAGCTCTCCCGTGATGCTGTACTGGATAAGCGGATAAGGAATTGGGTGGGTGTACTGTAAAAAGGCACAATGTTTCAGCCGCTGTGCCTTCCTCAGAGGGAGAGTGGTGGGGTGGCAAAGGTGAAGAAAAGAAAAGGTGAGAATTAGGTCAGGCTGGAGCTTCAGGCAAAGAGGGAGATAGAGACAAGAACACTGGCCTTCTTATGCCTGGCCTGCAGGCACACATCATTGCCAAGTCATTCAGGTTATCTGAACAGCAAATACGAACATTTAAATCTTCCCAGCCATATATCTTGAGTTTTTTTTTTTTAAAAAGACATGGAGTTTTAACTCCAAAATCAAATGCGTCTATAATGGTCGAAAAAAAAAAACCTAACCAGGCATAGAAAATCTAGACACAAGTGGAGAGGTGAAGGTGAGACACTGCAGCATAGTAACACTGCAAACCTGATTTAAATTGAAGACTGAAGAGCTCTGTGGGGGATTTCTGGCCACCCATGAAACTGGGAGAATATTTTGGAATGAAATGTAAAAAAAAATAAACAGCACATTCTTGTGTTAAAAAATTTTATTTTTGTATTATTGTTGTGTGTTGATTTTAACACAGACAATTATGTTGACCGCATCTGTGTTGCTTTAGGTCTTTTGTTTTTTGGTTGTGAGTGCATCAAAGCGATATAATGGTGAAAACACACTTACTTCAAGTCTGTTAGGATTTCCTTTGTGGTGGTCTTCCTTTTACACAGGAGTCCACTCCTGACTTTCACCCTGTAGTGGATGTTGTGGAAGCTCACTGTGGATCCTCGAGTGGACTTTGTGTTTTGAGGGGACATCTTTATTTCACAGGTTCCGTTGGTGCTGACGCCATCTGATGCACGGACAGCGGAGTGATCAATCCTATCAGCCATCTTCTTGGGTTACTCCCTTTGAGACAAAAAAAAATGAACAAATATGTTTCAAAAACATTTGAAAACATATCTTTTTAATTCAGGTTTTAGTTATTTGTTCTTTCTATTTATCTTTTATTGTCCTTTTATTACGACTTTCCTAATTTTTATGTATTTCTTTTTCAAGCATAAATTGACATTTAGGTTGCTTTACTGTATTACGGTGTTTTCCTTTACAACTGAAAGTATATCTCTTAATTTTTAAATTTTATTTTTACGCTTGGTTTGTAAAGCACTTTGAGCTGCTTATTATTATCATCATCATCATCATCATGTAAACCAAGTACTGTACAAAAATGCCCTGGTGGCTGCCATAAAAAATAGTCAGATGTCCTATGTCAGGCTCGTAGACAAAGGATTGAAACGTCCCAAACAAAGTTTATTTTACGTTTTGAGAGCCAGTTTAGGAAAAACTGTGGTGAAACTACACATTTCAGGATGCTAGCTGAGGCTTCACGGGTTCAGCACAATATGCGAGTTAGAAAATAAAGAACTCAGGCAGCAAACAGAGCTCTTTAACAGACCGCACACAGGGCTGCCCCTTCATAACCATCCCTGAATACACGAGCAAAAGACGACGTGAGAGTTGTCTTTCGGCAGGAGTAGATACCCAATCTCCCACCACAAGAAACAGCACCTTTATTTCCATGAAGAATCTCCACTGGCGCCACCTCGTCAGAATCACATAGAACCGGCCCAAACTCACCGGGCCTCAACACACAGCCACTACAAACCCGTTTATCTAAAAAGTACCCAAAATGCAGTCAATTAAATTAAATTACTGCATGTAGATTGTGGAAAGTATACTAAACACGCGTTTGAACAATTCCTTCATCAGCTCCATCAGACGAATTTATAGGAGAGGGAAAACGATGAACAGATCATTGTTTGTTTTGTAAGACAACCTTGTTTGTGAATGGGCCTTCCATTCCAAAAAGGTTTTCTTCCAACATGCGACAGTAAATCGTGCTATTACAGTCCAAAGTGCTTATTTAAAAGCAGACTATATGACCGTATAACGCGTGTTTCCTAATATTTTTGTAAAATTAAGAATCGGCAAAATATCAGGATTTTATTCGTGTCCAAACTGTCCAAATCACATCCTCCTCCAGTAAAAGCAGCGGTCAGAACAGAATGAGTTATTTGCACTTAACTGTACTGAGGATGAACTCCAACTGGACCTCAGGTTCACACCTCAAGTGTAGGTCAGAAAGGAGCTGGAGGTTTTTTTTTTACATTTGTAGAATAGTGTAATTGTAAGGTTCGACGTATTCGTCTCTGTTGTTTTTCTTGTTTTGCACACAAATCAATTAATTTAACGTAAGAATTAATTAATAATTAGTAATTGTGGAGTAAATGTTCAAATAAAGTGTGAGATAACGCCTCTGGTGATAACCGCACAACACAAGCCAGGTGTTTTATGGATTAGTGCAAATAAACCTTTGTGCGTTTTTAATAAAGGAACATTTTTCCCCCCACCAAAACCTGCGATTTATTCATACAGACCTAAAATTAATGAAAACTTTTATCAATGTCTGCGTTTTAAAATGCTGCGAGTAATCTACGCACATGTGAGATTTAATACCCGACAGCATTTTCTAACCCACAAAATAACAGTAATAAGGTACCACATCTTAAAATAACGTTGTTTCGTATATCACACAAAATAATTAAAACGTTAGACGTAATAAACGTAAAAGGAATTTAGCAATATAACATAATTACTCATTATTACGTATGTGCTTTTAATGAATCCAACTCAGACTTACCCTTCTTCAGAAGAAAAAGAAACTTGGTGCTCGCTCCTAAATGCTTATCGCTGTCCTTGGAAAGACCACTTCTGGGTGTTAGACTTGCTTGCATTCTAGTTTATGGTTGTCTGCACATTTATACCACCTATTACGAAGTGGGTAGAAGGGTATCGTGTCTCTTATCCGAGTCACACATGTCATTCATCCGTGCGCTCCATTAAATTTCACTTCAGTGGATTTAGGATTAAGTAAAAAAAAAATGTTCATGGATTGAAGAAGAATTGTGCTTTTTTAAAATTAGGCACTGTTGTGAAATTACGATAAATTATGGCGTTACAATAAATCGTTTTTATATGTTAATTTGAAGACATTTCGCTTTTTTAAAAAAAAAAAACGTTCCGGTAATCTGTAATTGTTACAGCAGCCTGAGCAAGCAAGATACTGCAGAAAGTGTAAAACACAGAGTGTAGGGGGAAGTGTTCCGACTTCACACGTCTAATCTGATCCAGTCCAGTTGGCAATTTGTATTTCCATTTTTCCATTTATTATAATTAATTCGAAAGTACAGTATGAAAACCTTTTGTATCTTTCGCAAAGTTCTCGTGAATACAACCAAACTCCAATATTATACATAACCTATGGAGTGTATTTACCAGTAAATTATGCTTTAAAATAACAGGAAATTTAGACAATTACCCTCACAAATGTTGGAAATAAGAACATGGTCATGATCGCGTTGGCCGAACAAACTGATGTAAATAATATCATTGTTCTCTGCACCCAATGTACTGTAGCATGTCATGTGTGTGAAGATCACAGAACTTGACAAGTGCAATTTCAGTATGCTACCGTATGGCATATATAGTACATATTATTTTAATGTCAAATTGTGAATGGGCAATGCTATCAAAAAAACGGGAAATTTACTCCAAACTCTGCACTGCCAAAGAAGAAGAAACACTTGTCTTAGGAACAATGTTAAATTATTTTAAAAACAATCCATACTAGTTTGTACTAATAACTACAGTATATAAAATAAATAGTTGCTGTACATTACAGTATGTGCCTTCAATCATGATATTGTCCTGCTTATTATGCGTTAAAAATATTACTTCTAAACCTATACCTTTGGGTTTCTTCAAGCTGATTGAAAACTCATTCATCTTTACCAAGTGGTTCTTAAAGATTCGATTTCCGATTAGCCAATT